TGTAAGGAATAAATGAGGAAATGGGCATAATGCATAGTTGATGTTCAATGAATGGTGACCACTGAAATGATATTTATGACCCTTATCCAGGTGGCAATGTCTAGAAGGTGATGGGATATCTGGACCTGGATTTTTAGGGAGGTGTGGGCTGAAGTAGAACAGTGAATTGAATGGGACAATCTTTCTAGGCAACCCCAGTCTGGGGCTCAGAGCCCTCAGGTCTCAGGCAGGGAAGGCCTCCCTGAGAAGACAGATCTGAAGAAAGCTCATCCCCAACTAGTAACTTTGGCATATTGGGGCCATATTGGGGCTTAAAGCATCTTTAACTAAAGCCCCAAAAATTACTTTTCCAAGTACCTGAGATATCCAGAAACAGATGTTTTTAATAGGAATGAGCTAGTACAGGCAGCTTTTAGAAAATAGTTGTATTGTTTTTGTTAAAAATGGCTGACGATATTCATTATCAAAACATTCAACCAATAGTGAAAAATACAAAGAAGAAAGAAAAAAATGCTTACAACAAATACCCTTTTCCCCACAAATACAGGAAGGAGGGAGTTTATGCTATATATACTTTTTTGAAGTAAAAAGTATTAAACTTTAATTGAACTTGAATTAAAGTGAAGTGAAACTGAAGGGATTGCTGAATTTTGGTAATTGTTTTCCCCCAAAAAAGATATATTAGTTTCCAAAAGTTTAAAAAACATATTATGAAATAGGTTGATGGTTGGAGTTATTGAGGTATTTTCCTTACATGTTTCAAATGTTGATAGTACCTATTGACTTCCTGCAGGAAAAGATGAGAGTGGCAGTATTTCTTCCCATTTTCATATTTCTTTCTACCTTTCCATTTCTACCTATACAAATGTTAAATTATTCTTTTTCTGTTTTCAAGGTCATAACATTCACATTCTGTAACAATAATCTTCACAGTTGTTTAGCCTTAGACTTATATGTAAAAAGGATTTAATACTCACTACTAGTCCCTTGACCATGGAACACCACTCCCAAGTTTATTATTTTGATTTATGTCTTGTTTAGCTGGACTTCCCACAATAGTTTTCCTAAAAGGGATCAGAGGTGCTATGTTCTCTGAGTTGTAGCATGTTTCAAAATATCGTCTTTATTCTTGAAGGACAGCTTGAATGGTTATAAAATTCTTGAATCACTCTTTCCCTCAAAACTTTGTAGATGTTGCTCCACTGTACTTATGTTATAGAGAAGTCTGAGACCTGCTGATTTACAGTACCCTTTGACCTCTACCTGCCCTGTAAGTGGCTTACTTTTTCTGTGAGGATAGCTGAAGAATCATTTCCCTACCTTTTTTATCTTTTTAAGCATGGTATGTTCTTTCAATCTGCAGGCTCAGTTTTTCCCTCAATTGAGGAAAATTTTTTTCTTATTATATCTTTGAATATGTTCTTTGTTCCATTTGTTTGATTCTGTACTTCAGAGACAATGTAATTCATAGATTGTTAATCAGTGTCTCAACTCCAGATCCATTATTCCATCTCTAAACACTTTCATCTTTCTTTCCTTTTTTGCATTCCGTGTGATCATTTCAATCCGCTCCCCCAACCCCCGCACTTTACTAATTCAGTTTGAAATTGTATCTGTTTTATTTCTTCATATTTACAATATCTTGGTTAGTTCTATATTTTCTAATTTCTTGGTTAATTTTGTTATTTTGGTCCTAAACTTGTTTCCTTAAATTGTAATCCTCATCCTTCTTTGTGTGATCATCTCATCACACCATTGACTTGTTTTCTTTTTCAGGTTCTGATTTATCCTAGAGTCAAAACATTTGTGGCATACATTTTTATGTTTCTTGCAGCTATGTTTCCATCCTGACATCTGTCTTCTGCATGTTTCCTTCCTTTTTTCCTTTATACCTTCCCTCCTTCTTTCCTTCCCCTTTTGGCTATAGTGTTTTTGCATGGTTGGCATGCCATAGTTTTCATTTTATTTCTTTTTGATCTGGACATTTCTACCTGGATCTTCTCTTTACCCAGATATGTTGTGTAGGTAAATTTTCATTGACTCCTTCCTTCCCGTCTGAGATCTTTCTCTTGCTTTCAGAGCTTTAGTTGAGGGTTGGGTATTTCATGTTTGTCTGCTTTGTTTCAAAGGTTACAACAGGGTAGTAGGGGGAAAGGGGAAGTTGTGATGGAGCTGTGAGTAGCGTATTTGTGGAATTGGTTTCTGCTCTATATAAGATGTTCCCAATCTAAAACTTTGGGTTTATTATACGAAATTGGGGGCATATCCTATTTTCTTGGGTAAATAGTGGTGGGTTTTGGATTGTTTCACCAGTTCAGGGTATTATTATAGAGACAGCCTGCCCCAGGTGTTATTTTCTCAACTTGACCCAATTGTTCCCAGCAGCTACTTCTACTCCCCTGCCTGGTAAGGGAAGGAAAACATAGAAAAAATCCAAGGAGTTTGGCCCTGCGATATTTTTCAGAAGTAAAGGAGCTTGAGTTGGGGCTTTTTATGTATCTCCTGCCATTCACTCCATCAAAGGGTCTTGTTTTATTTATTTTTCTCTCGTCTTAACAACAACAACAACAAAAAAAACAAACTAAACTAAACCCAGTGCCATCGAGTTGATTTCTACTCATAGTGACCCTATAGGACAGAGTAGAACTGCCCCATAGCATTTCCAAGGCTGTAACTCTTTTCAGAAGCAGATTGGCACATCTTTCTCCCATGGAACGGCTGGTGAGTTTGAACTGCCAACCTTTTGGTTGGCAGCTGAGTACTTTAACCACTGTGCAACCAAGGCTTCTTCTCTTTAGTCTTACTTTCTGATAAATCCCTCCATATTGTTCAAGATAATCAGCTCTGAGAGAACACTGAAATCATTCTGCTTTTCCTCTTTCTCCTCCTCAGTAAGGAAAGCAAAATGGCAGCACAGGCTGCTTTTGTTTTTATTTCTCTTTTTTCGCTCTTTGGAGTGTTGTTATGGTGGAATGGAGAGCCTTCCAGATAGCCTGATTCTTTCGTGCAGGAAAAAAAGGTATGAAGGGTTGGAGCTCTATATTTATTTCTAGCTATTTCTGTCTTTCTCTGGTCATCATTTTTAAAGATCATTCCCCTCTTCTGTATTTGAGAGTTCTACTCTGTCCTGTAGGGTCACTGTGAGTCGGAATCAACTCTACAGCAGCAGGTTTGGTTTTTTGGTTTTGGTATCATTTTGGTTGGTTTAAAATTTTTTTGCTGTTATTGTGTTACTTTGGTTGAGTTCAGGGGTAGGGTGATTCTTAGATCTGCCAGTTCTGGGATCACCCTTCAGACATTTTAACAGGGCTAAACGCCCTATTTACTTCTGTTGTTGCTGCTCAGCCAAAGGGACTTTTCTAGGCAAAAGCCCCCGGATGGCTTTCATGGGATTATTAGACCTTACATGCTTCAATCAATCATATAGCTTTCTCAGAAGCCCACTGCTTAATTAGCTTTCTGCTGGGTACAGTGGGGATACATAAAGAAAAATGAGGCCAGAGTTGCCACAAGGTTTACCATCTGTTGCATAGAAACATCAGATCCTGGAGACAACCCAAGGGCTGACAGTAGCTAAGAGAGTATCTAGTGCAATCTTATATCCAAAGAAGGATCCTTGACTGCCCTGTCTCTGACAGGCGGACCCTCCAGACTTTGTTTGGATACCTTGAGTAACAGGAAACGCAAGAACACCGTTCTGCTATTGGAAAGTTCAAAGTATTTAAACATTCTTTACATTAAGCCAAACTATACCTCCCCTTCTCTCTTCATGGTCTCCCTTTGAGGCTTACATTCACATGGCTCCTAATCTTAACTCCCTTTAGATGACTACCACAGATATACCTGTAGTCATGATCTCTAGCCTGGCCTATAATCGTGGAAAATGATTGAACAGATTGGAAAGCTGCTGGGCCAAAACCCACAAGAGACGGTAAAACATGGATAAATATAAAGTCCTGCATGCAAGTGGAAAGTAACCATTGTACAGGATGAGGCCCATGTAAAAGAGATTTGAGGGTTTTAATTAACCCAAAATGTACTGTGAGCTGATAATAAGGCACAGAAAGTATATGCTACATGAATAACAATCGCCAATGCCATGGACATTTGCCAATGTCCTCCTGTGCTAAAAGCTTGTTAGAGCACATCCGGACAGCAATGAACAAGAATATGTGCAGGCAGGGGGTGGTGTCTGGAGGCCATGGCCCATAATGGACAACAATTAACAGCTGGAAAAATTGGGCTAGAGCCTGAGAAGGAAGCTTTTGAGAGGCATAAGAACTATCTTCAAACAGGAAAAAGATTTATGGAAAAGAGATATTTGGTTTGTTCTTTCTGCCTTCAAAGCATAGACCTGGATAGTTTTAGGAGGTAGAAAAAGGATGTTCATTGACTCTGTTGACTAGGTGGCATCTATATTTCTGAGATCTGTAAAAGACCTCATGACCTTAGCTTTACCCTGGAAAATACTTGTTTGTATTCTTATCCATAGGGGTATAGAATCAGATGCGGATTTCTAGGTAGTACACAGAGGGTGAAACTTTTTAATTCACTTGAAGAATAGTTGGACAATCGGTCCCCTAAGAAGCCTGCCAAAGAGTGAGGACTTTCCCAAACATTATAGCCAAGCGGTCAGCCAGCTGGCTTCTAGCTATCTGAAACCAGCATCTGACCCCAGGAACAATAGCCTGCTTCATACTGTGGTAAGCAATGGGAAGAACACAGACTTTGGAGTCAGGTAGACCTTGGTTTGAAGTCTGGCTGTGTCATTTACTAGGTCTGTGACTTTGGACAAGTTACTGGACCTTACTGAGTCTTGGTTTACCCATCTGTAAAATGGGATAATTAAGTTCTAGCTCATTGTGAGGATAAAGTAAGGTAGCAATTACAAAGCCCCTGGCCTGTGTTTATAAGTGTTATAGTTCTTCCTTGCCCCTGCAGCTAGTTCCCACAGTACTACTGTGATTTCAAATAGACATAAGGAAATTTTTTTTTTTCAGGGCTCCCTTCTGAACTCTCCCCTTCTATTGAGGAGGAAGAGTCAAAGAGTGGCTTGGATGTCATGCCCAATATTTCTGACGTGCTGCTGCGCAAACTGAGGGTTCACAAGTCTCTCCCTGGCAGGTAAAATCCGGGTGTGGCCTACAGTGGAGCCTGTATTGGGGGTTCTTGTGTTAGATTCAAGGTGGGACACTGAGAAGTATCAGCCTTGGTCCCTGACCCCAGAAGGGCCAATGTCCAGTCGTCCAAACAGGACTAATTCATCCAAAGCAAAAAGAATAATGAAAGGCCAGGCGGGGTGGTTCCAACTCAAAGAGCAGGTGGGGTCCATAGGTAGGCAGAGCCAGTGAGGAGACAAGGGTCATTGGAGGCTCACAGCAGCAGAGGTGGTGGGCTTTGGGCTAGGAGACAGAGATTTCAATCCCAGATGTACCCTTTACCTATGTCTGAGAGACTCTAGGTCAGGTATCTGTGTAGATAGAGATGCAGAACATTTGGGACCATATGAAGAAGGATTGTTTGGAATCCCTGCCAGGCCTCTTCTACACATGAGGAAAAAGTGATCTTGTTTTTGAGCCTGGACATCCTCATCTGTAGAATAGGCATCATAGTCACTCAGTCACTGGTAGGGTCCTGAGCAGGTTAAATGAAGTATGTGTGAGAAGAGGCTTAAGACAGTGTTAGCATTAACAGGCCCTTGATACCTGCATTGCAAAGTGAACCATTTCGAGTATAAAGGAGAGAAGAGAGGGGACTACTAAGCCATAGGGACTGGGTGGGTACCTGTAGGTGAGGCCTACGGCCGAGTCCAGCAACCTTGAGATTGAACTGTTTGTGGGAAAACACCATTGGTAGGATAAATGGGGCATGACAGAGCTCCCAGCTTTTAAGGGTAAATATGAAAGGAGAATATATTTTGCTGAGTGGGTGTGATATGTGCAAATTCCACACTGTAATAATCTAAAACAGATTCACTAGGGCAAGACTCAGAGGGACCTAGCAGCAAGACGAACATCAGGAAAAGTGCTAGAAACAAACAAGAAGCAGGCAGTACCACAGCTGGAAGAGGGCGTGGGCTGGGTTGGTGCAATTGTGAGAAGGCAGAGAGATGTTTCCAGAGGCAGGAAACCCAAGGAGAAGCATGCTAAGAGCACTGCAAGTTACAGAGCATGCATATATGCTGCATGTCTTTTCGTGTTTTTTGACAACCCAGTGAGGCAGAAAGGAAGATTTTGTTGTATTTTATTTTGTCATCAGTGAGGGAACAGAGAGGTGAAGCAACTTGCTGATAAGTGACAGAGTCAGGAATTGTACTCAGGTCCTTCTGGAGGCCCACAGCTCTGCCCTCCACCTTTTCTCCCCTCCAAGCTACCTATGCCAGTTTTCAAGGCACAGGTCTTTGCATCAGGAGCTGGCCATGTCACGTGGCTTCCTTGCCTAAATCCCGCCTCCCTGAGTCCTTGGGGCATTCTACATTTTTAAAAAACTTATGTTCTATAGCAAAAAAGCAAAGTGTGAGTCATCAAAAATAGAAAAAAGAAGCTTGGTTAATAATTTAGGAAAATAGGTATATTGCACGTAATATCCAAACAAACCCAGGAGTCAGAGGTAAACTCAGCCAGTTTTGATAAACCATTTAAATAGTATGTGAATGTTCTATATGGCAGTTAAGATTATGTTAGACTGCAAAGTAAAGGGGCTGATGGGTGGAGTTGTGGCAAGAATAGTAGCTGTCACACATCCTTGTGCTTGTTTATCTCATGTTCCGTACTCTGCTGACTTGCCAGCCATGGGGTCCTGTTGCCTCATCCTGACAGGAAGGCCCTCACAGGGATGAGAACCAGCCCCTTGCAGAGATGGCTGACCCCTACCTTTGCTCTCAGGGTCCCTCTGCACCTGTCAGAGGGAGGAAGCTGTGTTTCCTGAGAGTCTTATCGATGGCATGCTCTGTTGCCAAGTCTTATGACGCTGATAGGATCCCTCCCAGCCCTCCCCACCTCAGCAGAGGAAAGGGGCTGTGCATTATTTACATTGTTCAGGTTTTAGAAAGGGGCCAGCATTAGTTACTAGCAACAGCTCAGCAGCAGCAGCCAGCATAGAGTAGGCATGCACATGAAAGGACTGCTTACTGTTGGGAAGGCCCAGGCTCTGGGGGAACACATACGAAGAACCTCTCCGAATGACACCACTCTGCCAGCTAGGCCTTTCCTGCCTACCTTCTGAATCCAGCAGTCAGAGGGGCTTCTCAGTGTTGAGAAGAATTCTGGCCATCCTCTCCCACCTTTCATTCTCTGGCCCACAGGCACCCTCAACACAACCCTGAAAGATAAGGACAGTGGATAAGGTGTTGCAGACCTAAGTAGACCCAGAACAATCATAATGGCAACTCAGATGTGTATAGTACTTTACAGTTTATAAAGTACATATTACATCCATTTTCTTATTAAGAATTCAAAACAATTCTGAATTAATAGTAATAATAGCTAACATTTCTGGTGCGCCTACCGAATGTGGGAAGTAAACACACACACATATAGGTATGACTTACATACATGACTTATACATAAGTCTTATAAGACTCCTGCAAGGTAGATATTACTATTCCCATTTTACATATCAGCAAACTGGAACTTAGAAAGATGAAATAACTTGTCCCAAATCACAGAGATAGTGGTGGCACTGCTGGAGATCTCACCCCAGGATCAAATATTTTTCACCACATTACTTCTGTAAGAGTCGATATTGAGGCGAATATTTCCCGGACTACAGAGCACATACACAGGGTACTCTGCATATTTTCCATCCCAGCAACTCAGCTTGCTCCATTCCTAGAAACAAATGGTCTGCTGGTCATTCAAAGTCACCCTTTGGTTTATTTCATAGAATGGATAAAGTTCATCTGTGTGTTTTCTTTTTTTCACAGTGCCCCTCCACTCACTGAAAAGGAAGTTGAGGTAAGTGACTCAAGAGCTTTATGAAATTTAGTGCCTGTGCTTGACTGGGCTTATTCAAAACATTCCCTCCTCCGGCCTCTGGTCCTGACATTTTTGCATAAAAAATGGGAATGAGTGACTGTGGGGTAATATGGATGCCTGTGACAGCCCTATTGAACCTTTAAGATCCCCAACCCCAGTGCAGTTCATGGAAGACTTTGACAAAGTCGTTCAGGGGTGAGAGGTTAGTTGGAAATTCCACATTCCTTCAAGGATTGTTTATGTTCTTTAAAAGTATGACTTACATACACCAAGTCATTGTAGAGGCTACAAAATGGAAATAAATTTATTTCAAAATTATTAAAAGATAGTCAGATTTCAAGTTTTAAGTTTTGGCCTAGAGGAAGAAGGCACTTTCTTTCTGAAGGTTTCAGACATAAGGAAGCTGGTTCAGCCAAGGCAGGAGGCTGTGCTGCAAGCTCTCCAGCCTCCCCTGATTCTGCTATTACTCTTCTTGAGGCTCCTGTGTCCCTGTAGAGATGCTGTCCCAGTGGGGATGGTGACTGAACTGAGAGGAATCTGCAGTTTCTTTCTGGTGAATGGGGTAGATGGAGAAAGAGAACGCATCAGAGGTGAGACGATGAGGACAGCTGATACCAGTGCTAGTTGGTTTCCAAGACATTTATGTTGGGGTTGATATAAGGCAGGAAGCAAGAATGTGGATGATTCCAGAATCTCTTCATTCTGGGTTGGGAGGATGACAGGTTTTGTAGTCTTCATAGCTTGGTTTGTCATTGATAACAAGAAACTGAACATACCTGTCCTGAGACCCACTGGACCAGATAAACAGAGAGGCCAGCCAGTATGAAATATCTACCACAGATAATAACAAATAAGCTTATACACAGACATTTTACTTATATTTTACAACACACTCTTATAGCCATCCTTTCAGCTGATCCTCCCATCAGTTCTGAGAAGCAGGTGGAACAGGAATTGTACAAAGGAGAAAACTGAGTGAATAAGTAACTTACCCAAGCTCCCAGATCTAGTACTTACTTAGCAGACCAAGATTGAGACCCAAGTCTTCCAACTGAATATAAGACTTTTTATGTCACATTAAAATAAAAGGGATAACCCAGGTGTGGAGCACTAAGCATTGTTCATAATTGATGGCCATAACTGGACTGAGGCCTAAGTAGGGCAGATAATTCACATCACTGGCCTGTGAGCTCAAATCTCCCCCACCCCTGATATCTGTGAAGATGGGGCTGGGGCAGTTTGTTTAATGGCCAAATCCTGTCCTCAGATATATATGGCACAATCAGCTTGCAGCGCAGTGGAAATAGCACAGGCTTTGGAATCTGACAGTCTGAGGTTGAATCCTGGCTTTTCTACTCACTTTTTGGGTCACCTTGAACAAGTTCTGTCTTGGTATCTTTTCCCATAAAATGGATATAACACTTCATTTTGGGTTGAACTGTGTCCCTGAAAAGTATGTGTTGTGGGAATGGGTTGTCTTTGTTATGTTAATGAGACAGGATTAGTGTAGGGTGCATCTTAAGTCAATCTCTTTTGAGATATAAAAGAAATTAAACAAACAAGTGAAAGAAGCAAAGATAGGGGAAGAGACACGCCAAGCCACATGAAGGTTGCCCAGGAGCAGAAGCTCAGAAGAGACAAGGACCTTTCTCCAGAGCTGAGAGAGAAAGCTTTCCCCTAGAACCATAAAAAAACCTGTTGCCATCAAGTCAATTCTGACTCACAGTGATCCTATAGGACAGAGTAGAACTGCCCCATAGAGTTTCTGAGGAGCACCTGGTATATTTGAACTGCTGACCTTCTGGTTAGCCGCCATAGCTCTTAATCACTACACCACCAGGGTTTCCTCCCCTAGAACCGGTGCTCTGAATTCAGACTTCTAGCCTCCTAAACTGTGAGAAAATAAACTTCTGTTTGTTAAAGTCATCCACTTGTGGTATTTCTGTTATAGCAGCACTAGATAACTAGGACAGCTTCCTATCCCAGAGGGTTGTTGAGGGATTAAATGAGCTAAGGTGCATAGAGCTGAATGCGGTGCTGGCATGTGATAGATGCTCAGTAAGGAGTCATTCTCAGTATAACCATCATCATCATCATTGGGTCAATTCAGTGCCTTCAATTCTCTGTCTAGGAATGTCTGCCTGCCGTGGGCCATGTTACACGAACTTCAGAAGCTCAGGCAAAGCTGGAATCATCTCACAGTTTGTAAATCTTCTCCCACTTGACTCAGGCAGGGCAGGTGAAGGCTGTGAAAGTGAAGACCATTGCTTACTTCCTCTGTGAAATCCATCTGTCAATTTTTCCTCCCCAGTAACTTCCTATTCTAGGAATTCCACATCTGGTCAGTACTACCTTTTCAAAGTTTATTCATGCAGGCTGGATTTTTGGCATGGAATATTTATTCCAGAAAACTTTTCTTAATAGAATCATACCTGGCTTTATTTAATCTCCGGGCAGCTACTTAAAGCTGCTATTGCTGTAGGACTTGGAATGCTCAGGCTAGATGCTGTTTGAAGTTTACTTTAAGTCAACACAGCTTAAAACTCAAATACAATTTCTTTAAATACAGTGATTTCATTCAAAACCTCCAAAACCCCCATGAAATAAATCCCAGCATAAATCCAAACTGCTTATACAACCAGCTGCACTGGCCTGAGTTTGTCTAAACCCAAATACAGGATGTTATTTTCTTGAAGTGCAGGGAAAAGCAAAGTGTCATTCCCTTATTATTTTTCAGAAAAATGCATTTGGTCTTTCGGTCCCAGTCAGGACTTAGCAATGACTTCAAGTTTCTACTTCACCATCTTTTGTGCAGTTTACTGTGAAGTGAGAGTTTCACTTGCACATGGATGCTTTGCTGACAAGGTCCAGGAGCTGTTGTAAAATGCTCGTGCAAGAAACACCTGCAGCCTAGTTCCCCACAATAACTCCTCCTAGCATCTCTCCCACACTCTTTTCCCAACAGAACGTGTTTGTACAACTGTCCTTGGCCTTTAGAAATGACAGCTACACCCTGGAATCTAGAATTAGCCAGGCTGAAAGGGAACGGAACCTGACAGAGGAGAACACTGAGAAGGAACTGGAAAACTTCAAAGCTTCCCTTATGGTAATTATGGAGACTGAATTTGGGAATCCTTGGAGGAGGGACTGTCTCCAAGGGACATGCTAGGTGTCCCACTTTTCCCCATCACCCACCAGAGTCCCCTGAAATGAGAAATCAGACTAGGGCCCTGAGCTGGATATAGAGTCTTCCTCAGAGAGCTAGGAGGAACTGAGGCAGAGATCCTGGAGGCCTGGTTACATCAGGACTGTGGCCTCTGAGCCCTTGGGAGCTCTCAGGATGGGGCTGGGGGCCTGGGGTAGTAGTGGGAGCTCCCCAGGGATTAGCGGCCTGGATGTGACTCCTTTCAGGCCAGCCAGGTAAAAAGTATCCATACTGGGCTTTTCCAATCCCCAAAAGAAGCTTTAGCCTGGGTCCTGCTGAGGTTACTCCTCTCAGCCAGGTTGGGGCCCAGGGCTCATGAGCCCAAGTCTGGGTGCACAAGAACCCAGGTGAGACTCCTTCTCTCCCCTTAGTCTTCAGCTTCACTCTGGCACCACTGTGAGCACCGGGAGACCTACCAGAAGCTGCTGGAGGATATCACTGTCCTGCACCGCCTGGCTGCCCGCCTCTCCAGCCGAGCTGAGATGGTGGGGGCCGTCCGCCAGGTAAGCCTCACCATGCCCGAGCCTTGCTGACTGGCTATGCTCTGCCCACAGGAACTACAGCAATAACATGACCAGCTACAACTACAGATGCCACTCATCAATGGCTTCCTCTGTGCTAGGCATCTTATGTACATTATTGCAGTATTTTTCAGAGTATTTTTGGTGGACCACTAAATTCTTGAGATGATCCTTGGAAAAAGTTTTCTGTGGACATATAAGTTTGGGAATTGTTGCTTATTATCTTCCTTTCATGGAGATTTATAACACGCTTCGGCATAATCAAGGCTTTGAGTAGTCCTATAGTAAAGAGAAGTGTTTAACTTTACCTATGTATTTCCCAAATATATTTGACTGTATGATCCCCTCCTCATTTCCCCCACAAAATACATATCCACCTCCGATGCAACTAGTATTTGGTAAAACATGATTTAGGAAAAACTTCTGTTTCATTTAATCCTCCCAGCAACTCTGTAAAATAAAATATCCTTTTCCCCAGATGAATAAATTGAGTCTCAGAAGGGTAACCCATTCGTAAGTGGTAGAGCTAGGGGTTCAGGTCCAGGTCTGGCTCCCCTCTCAGCCACTCTGAAGTCCCACAGCACAAGAGCATGCCCTGCTCCAGCAGTGGAATCAGATGGCCTGAGTTCTAATCCTCGCTCCACCACTCACTCCTTTACCGTGTGACCTCAGACAAGTTACAAGGCTCTCTGAGCTTCAGCTTCTTCAACTAAAATGAGGATGATTACAGAATCTGCCATTGAGGGTTACTATAATACATGTAAAGCAATTAGATGTTATTATTACTGTTGTTTTTACTATAGACCCATGTCCTGCCACATTGGTTGTATGAGATTAGCGTTCCTGGGAAATATCACTGAACAGTTCTCATGGAATGAAAGGAGGACAAATGGCTGAGCTGTCCCACCCCTGTGTTTTTCTGGGGAAGGGGCACCTGAGTCAGCAGTAGCACCCAGGGGTTTACTCCAGCTGGAGGCTGCAACACAAGGAGGACTTTATGGAAGTGAGTGGTTTCAGCTCACAGCTGCAGGGGACCTCTTCCAGGGAACAGCCACTGAGCATGTTCCTCTGAGGGATCCAAGGGAACAGAAGAGGAGAAATACCTTCTTCATTTTGTACCACCCTCCAAAACATGTTTCTTAGTCCATGTGTCATTCACTCCAGTCTTTAGTGCTCTCCAAATGGCTTCCCCACCCCTAGTTTCTGTGTCTTTCAGCTCTCTCCTTCCTCTCTGGTTCCACACAACTAGTTCAGGCGCTGGTCCTTGCTTTCCTTGTTGGTCTCACTGCCCCAGTTTCATTTCCTACAGTCTAATTTCCACTGCTGACCTGATTATGTCACTCTCTTACTGTAGGACATTCAATGGCTCCACTTTTCCTTCAGAATAAGTCCAAATTCCTTAGCCTAGCATTCAAGGTTCTTCAGAACCCAGCCCTGACTCATCTTTTCCTCTTGTGAAAAAATCCAACTGCTTGCTGATTCCTACATAAGTAAGATGGCCTGTACTATCCTGGTTTGTCCAGATAATCCTGGTTAACGCCTGTTGTCCAGCATAATTTTTAATAGCACCCCCTTTTACTCTCCGAAAGATTCCTGTTAGGAGAATAAACCCTCACTTATACACAAGTCCTATGCTTTTCTGCCTCTAAACCTTTGTTCTTGGAATTCCCTGGCCTGGATGCCCTTCATCCCTCTTGCTCACATCTTCATGACCAGATGCTGCCTACACCCTACGTCCACTTCATTCCATCTCCATGAAGCCTCCCCGACCCATTCTCCGCAAGCATAAATTAATCTCCCCCGCCTCTCATCTTCTGTGGCATTGTGGTTGTGCTGTTCCCTTGTTCTGCTTGAGTGCTGGTGCCTGAGACCATTTCTCAGCTCACGTCGTGGACAGCAAACTCTTAAGGGACAGAGTCATGTCTGATTGGTCCCTGTATCCTTTCAGTTATTCCAGCCCAGAGCCTCACTCAGAGCAAACAAATCCTCATGGAGCCATTTATTCAACTGCCCCATGCACTCACACTCTCCTTCCCTGCAGGAAAAGCGCATGTCCAAAGCAACAGAAGTGATGATGCAGTATGTGGAGAACCTGAAGAGGACGTATGAGAAGGACCATGCAGAGCTCATGGAGTTTAAAAAACTTGCAAATCAGAATTCAAGCCGCAGCTGTGGCCCCTCTGGTAAGGATCTGGGCTCCAACCCCATCTTGGCCCTACAGGGTAGGCCCGTGATGGCTCTAGGCCAGGATCATACATACCTATCATGGCAGCCCCAGGACCTGTTTCAGGTTGAGCAGAGGTCCCTGCTTTTGCCCAAATCCTGCCCACAGGAGCCTGGCAGGAGCTGCTGTGGTGAACCTGGGGGGCTGGAACCAGAAAGCATGAATTGTCCCAGGTGACCTCCTGACTCCCAGCACAGTTAACCTGAGTGCTCAACCACTTACACATAGCCCACAGGCTGCTAGAGCTCTCTGTGAGTGACCGGCCCTGTGAGAGTCACAAGTCTTTGTGCTCTGGGTACCCTTTTTAGGCACCACATGGTAAGGAAATTAGAATTTATCTTGGAAGGCATTAGGGATCCAACCAAAGATTTTAATCAGAGAAGTGACATGATCACGTATGTAGTTTAAGGAGGTTCTCTCTGACTGCAGCGTTCCAATTACATTACTGGGACAAAGCCAGAGACAGGGAAACCCATGAAGATGCTATTACAACAGTCCAGGTGAGAGATGAAGCCTGGGCAGTAGGGATGGAGGAAGAGGCTGGATAAAGGAGATATTACTGAGATAAATAGCAACTAGTGGGTAAGACAAATATTTTAAAGAAATACTTTTTTTATAAGCTCCTTACAAATATTATATTGACTTTTTAAAAAATAATTTAAGAACCCTATAAATATGTCTTTCCCTTGAGCTAGTATTTACACTTTGAGAAATCTGTCTTAAGGAAATTGTGCAAGGCCGACAATATTGAAAATATTGAAGCTGTCAAGGATTTCATTTTACTTGGACCCACAATCAACACCCATAGAAGCAGCAGTCAAGATATCAAACAACGTATTGCATTGGGTAAATCTGCTGCAAAAGACCTCTTTAAGGTGTTAAAAAGCAAAGATGTCACTCTGAGGACTAAAGTATGCCTGACCCAAGCCATGGTGTTTTCAATCGCCTTATACGCATGTGAAAGCAGAACATGAATAAGGAAGACCGAAGAAGAACTGATGCATTTGAATTATGGTGTTGGTGAAGAATATTGAATATATCATGGACTGTCAGAAGAACGAACAAATCTGTCTGGGAAGAAGTAGAGCCAGAATGCTCCTAGAAGCATGGATAGCAAGACTTTATCTCATATACTTTGGACATGTTATCACGTACTCCTCCAGTCACTGGAGAAGGACATCATGCTTGGTAAAGTAGAGAGTCTGCAAAAGAGAGGAAGACCCTCAATGAGATGGATTGACATGGTGGCTGTTATGATGGGCTTAAGCATAGCAATGATTGTGAGGATGGTGCAGGACTGGGCAGTGTTTCATTCTCTTGTACATAGGGTTGCTATGAGTTGGAACCAACTCAACGGCACCTAACAACACAACAACATAGAAGTTGCTGTAGGAGCACAGAAGAGGGGCCATCTAATGCTGCTTGAGAGAGTCAAGGAAGGTTTCACAGAGGGATGGCACCCGGACAGAGTTTTAAAGTAAAAATAGGAGTTCTCAGTCAAGAGAGGGAAATACATCCCAGGCAGAAGAAACAGCATGTACAAAGGTGTGGAGGTTGGAGGTGAGAACAACATGAAATAAATAGTTTTGATGAACAGTGTTGGGACGTGATGGTGAGAGGTTGAAGGTAAGACTTGGTAGGCCAGGGCCAGACCACATGCCAAGCCATGATAACAAGTCAGGACTTTATCCTCTAGGCAATGGAGAGTAATGGGAAGTCATTGGTGAGTTTTACATAAGATGACATGATCAGATTTTATTTTTGGAAGATTATTCTGATTTCAGAGTATGGATTAAAGGATTGCAAAATTTGAAGTATACATTAGAGGAGGCTCTTACAGCAGTCCAGGAGGGAGATGATGGTACCTTGGACCGGGATGCCTCTTTGGGAGCTGCCAGAATTTGAACTCTGACTGATGAGGGTGAATAGCAGGAGAAACAGACATTTTTGTGATAGGAATCCCTGTGAAATACAAACAGCCGTGTTACCAAAAGCAGAAGGAGGGAAAGTACAGAAAGTATAACAGATGGAGGAACCTTTATAAACAGGAGGTTTCACAAGTTTCCTGGGGAATATCAGTGATGTTTCCCAGAGTCCAAAGGCAGTGTACACATGTTCCAGGCTGTCTGCGATGGATCTTGGCAGTCAGTCTCCTGAGCCACATGTATCTGGGTCTCTAACAAACCACTCTCTGTCAGTGTTAGAAGTTGGGGAAGTTGCTGCCAAAGAAATCCTAATACGTGAGCTCTTGCATTATTGTCCTGCCAGGTGCAAGGTCCCCTGTGAACCACCTTACCCAGGGAATGAGCACAATTACACATGTGTCTCATTCACTCATTCCCCAGACGTTTATTGAGTGCCTTTGGTGTGGCATACATGATACTTGAATTTAGAGTAAAGGGCACATAGTCCGTGACCCAAAGGAACTCCCAACCTGCGGGAAGGGCAGGGTGGCGTGATCGGTGCTGTGACAGAAGGAAGGCGACTTCCCTAGGGAGCGTAGTGGAGAGTCCCACGTGCAGTCTAGAGGGAATGAGACAATGCTTACAATAGGAAGGGAAACTTTATCTGTGCCTTCAGTGGTGAATAAGTGCCGTTTAGACATTTGTTCCCACTCCAGCTCTTCTTCCAAGCTATTCCTCAGCTTGGGCTGATGCAGAGGGCCCAGCCCTCACCTAGCATGTGTGTCCATAAGATAATCTATAACCATTCCCTAGTGGTGTTTGCTTTTTAAGCCTTTACATGACTCCAGGCAATCTTTTGTCTGTGCATGTGACTTGAAAACTACAGTAAAAGAAAATACCACTGATTTCAAGAAAAGTGATGCACATTTAAATAACACTCATTATTTTGTTTTCTGAATATGAAACATGCTGATTGTCTGCCTTTTGGATTATTTCTTTAAGATAGATTTCTCAAAGTGTAAATGCTAGCTCAAGGGAAAGAAATATTTATGAGGCTCTTAAATTATTTTTAGAAAAGTAAATCCCATTGATATTTCCATTTAATGGATTATAGTAATGCTCAATTCATTGTGCCATCAGCAGCATTTTTATTCTTTATTTTGAAAAATACTTATGACTTTGATAGGCCAAAATGATATCTTATCTCATAGTTTTAATTTGCATTTCTTTGCTTTTCCTAATGTTTATTAGATATTTGTATTTTTTTACTTTTGTAAATTATCTGATTATGACCTTTGCCCACTTGTGAGAGTGGTACTTTATTAATTTGTTTGAACTCTTCATATATAAAGAATATTTTCTGGTTCTGTTATTTTAGCTGACTGGAAATCTTGAAAACCCTTCAACCACAAACACTTAGAAATGCTGGATAAAATAGAGCCAACATTAGTTTAAAGGAATAGCTGAATCCACAAGAAAAGAAATTGAAATCCTTACATACAGGAAAAGAAAAGAGAACTGAAACCAAGTTGATCCTGCAGCTTCGTTGGGGGCAAATGCCAGCCTCAGTTATCTAGGGGCTGACTTCTGCAATCTGAGATGAGGTGTCAGCCTCCCGTGGCGGAAATCCCACAGTAAGCTAAGACTTTCCAAGGACTGCATCTTTAGAGAGAACTTGACAAGACAAAAAACAGCCACCCACCAGCAGAGAAACAAACAAGGAAGTTTATTTGTTTCGCCCTAGCCTCTAGTAGGAAAAAATACTTTCTCCTTCCTGACAGGAAAAGTACATGTCCAAAGTGATAGAAATGATGATGCAGTATGTGGAGATTCTGAAAAGAACATCAAGATGATGCCCTTAGGAACACTGTCAGAAACAAAGCAACTCTGGAAAGACATACTCTCCGTCCAGGACAGAGTCCTCTAAATAAAGCCTCACTGAAGATGAGTTCACAATACAAATTATAAAATACACAAGGAAACAATCCACCATGAGCAAGAATCATCAGACACACCAAACAATAGGATTATATCCCTAAGAACCTCAGAAAATAAAATAATCTGATAAAATTTTTAAAAGATACAGTTAAAATTATTAGAAACATAAAAGAATGAATAAAAAACATGAGAATAAAAGAAAATGGCTATCAAAAAACAATAAAATAGAACTTCTAGAAATGAGAAATAGAGTCATGGAAATTCACAATTCAGCAGATAGGTATGGTAGTTATTATAGTTGAGGCTGTTCCTCAACATTTTAGGTCTCCTTCTGAGTACCTTTCCACACTCTATTGAAGTTGTTGTTGTTGTTGTTGTTAGGTGCCGTGGAGTCAGTTCTGACTCATAGCGACCCTATGTACAACAGAACGAAACACTGCCGGGTCCTGTGCCATCCTCACAATTGTTGCTGTGCTCGAGCATGTCATTGTAGTCACTGTGTCAATCCATCTGAAGTTAGGCATGGTGATATGACTTGCTTTGGCCAAATAAATGTGAACAGAAGTGACATGTGTCACATCTGAGTTGAGACCTTTAAAAACTAGTGTGTAAACTGCCCTATGTTTCTTTCTTTTGATATGGCAACCATCACTGCTTCAGAGTAGTGGAAGCCCACTAGCCTGAGTCCTGAGTGAAGAAATGCAGAGCAGAGCCTATTACCAACTCAGAAGCAAATGACATGAAGCATAAGCAAGAAATATATTTTTGTTGTTATAAGCCACTAAAACTTCTAGGTATTTATTATTGTAGCATAATTTAGCTTACCCTGACTGATATAACATTCAAATCAGATTGGGCTCAGTTGAAGAAAAATCAATTAACTGAAAGATAAATATGAGGAAGTTTCCTAAAATGCAGTTTAGAGGGATAAATTAATTAAACATATGAAAAAAACAGTATGAGATATGGGATATGGAGTTTAGATTGAGGAAGTCTCAAATACATTTATTAAGAGGTCCAAAAGGAGAGAATGAGGAAGAGAAAATATTCAAAGAGATAATGGCTGAGGATTTTCTAGAACTAAAGAAAGGCATGAATCACTGGATTCAGAAAGCACAGTGAACTCCAAGGAGAAGAAATAAAAACACAACTAAGAGAAACCACAGAACAGCAAAGACAAAGTAAGTATCTTAAAAGCAACCAGAGAGAACAGACAATTTACAAAGGCATGACAATTCTAAATAGCAATAATAGTGCCAGAAGACAATGGAGTATCATCTTCAAAGAGCTGAGAGAAAATAACTGTCAATCTAGAGATAAACTATCATGCAAGTCTTAGGACTAGGTAAAGATATTTTGAGACAACAACTGAGAAAGTTTACCTCTTATAGACACTTGCTGAAAGAACTACTAAAGGATGTACTTAAAGAAGAATGAAGTTGAGCTCAATAGAAAGGAGTAGGATGCAAGAAGGAATGGGGATCAAAGACATTTGTAAACAAGTGGGTAAATCTAAACAAGCATTCATTATATAAAATAACAATCATAATGAATAATTTGGGAATACAAAAACAAGATGAAATTAAAATACTGAAAAACAGTGCAATTTAAGATTGGAGGGAGTTATCATTGTTCTAAGGTTTATTCAGGAAGAGAATAGAGATCTTGATTAATTTTACATTTAAAGTCAAGTAAATATGTAAAAACTTTAAGGGGTTACACTGAAGATTAGAACTAGAATATATAACTTCCATACCAGTGGGGTGGGGATTAGAAAAATAAATAAATAAATCAAGGTAAATAGAAAATACAAAATAAGATGGTAGAAATAATACAAATATATCAGTAATCACATGAAAACCAGTTTAAACCAGTTGGTTAATAGAGATCCCAGATTAGATTAGAAAAAAATATCCAGCTATGTGCTTTTCAAGAGACAAACCTAAAATGTATGGATATGATGGATAGACAGCTATGTGTATCGTACTTTTCACAAATAACACACCCGCACATGTAACGCACATAACATGCCTAGGAAAATAATACACAAAGGGGCTGTGTGGTTGGCAAAAAATGTATAACACATGAGTTATTTGCGTAAAAATATGATAGGCTAGATAATATTGGTCAAACTGAAGCAACCTAAAGTGAGCTTGCGAATACCTTTCTCTGCACATATCCTGATGTCTCGTGGTGGCAGCATTATCCAGGTGTGGTGCTAAGCACTTTACATGAATTATATCATTTAATGTATGTACTAATGAGAAGAAAATCCTAAGGTGGTTGCTTCCCTTGTTCTGAATCAGTTGTAGGTGACATATTGAAACTACTTTTGTCAGCAAGTTTTCATTCTTTACCAACATCACACCTTCCTTGCTCATAGTTTCCCTGACTATACATCCCTTGTGAGAATATGAAATGACCCAATAAGCCTTGGAATTGCTATGACTAGTTTTGACACACTATTCAGGGTGTTTCCCAGAAACTGTGTAGTGGTATGGTGGAGATCAGAGGTGAAAAACTGGGGCTTCTTACACTACTCAGAGGAGTTAGGATAAAGGTTCTATCCAAAAAAAGCACCAAACTCTGCAGATGATCATTTCAGAGAGTGAAGTGCCAAAGTTAGTGTCCCCAAGACCCTGGCCCTTGACTTAGTTTCTACCTATCTGTTCCCTGCTGGAGCCTAGTCTGAAAACTTACCTGAATTCTCTTCTCTTTTCCATCCTGCTGCAGAAGATGGGGTCCCTCGCACAGCACGGTCCATGTCCCTCACGCTGGGAAAGGTATGCATGCTCAAGGAATACTAGGGCTTCCAGGAGAAGTCTGACAGAAATTTCTACAGTCACCCAAGCAGTCATTCATTCTTGGATCTATGGATGCCAGAGAACCTCTGAAGAGAGCTTCTATTCAGCTTTCCATACTCACTAGTTCAGCCTCTGATATTTCACCTTCCTTGCTCATAGTTTCCCTGACTATACATCCTTTAAACATAAAATGACCCATAAACCTTAGTATTGCTATGGATAGCAATGGGTATTGCTACCCAGAGACTATGAGATCATTTCTGTGCTACTTCTTTAGGATCTAATAAGCTAAAATAGGAAGATGTTGAGAGACCACTCACCATGAACAGATAATTTGTGTCAACTTTGGCCACATTCTCCACACTAACCCCCAACACCATCACTACCCCAAACCAAAATATTCACTGAATGTTATTACAGCATTAGGAAATAGTAGGCATTTTTCAGGCGCTTCTGAACTGTGGCTGTTGCTATCTCCAAGACGATAGACCTGGTCACTTCTCTCCCACAGAACATGCCCCGCCGGAGGGTGAGCGTAGCTGTGGTTCCCAAGTTTAATGCCCTGAACCTGCCTGGCCAATCTCCCGGCTCATCACCCATCCCCTCCTTACCAGCCCTGGTGAGTATGATGATGCCTTCCTCAAAGCCATATTCTGCCTCTCCCTCAAGTACACCACTATGAGAGTGACCCAGATGAGGGCGGGGTCAACAGAATCTGGGATAGAGTCTCAAAAAGCTCAATATAGACGCAGGCCACACGTCTTCCACTGCTTTGAGAAGAGGTTCGATGTTCTTGAGTAGAGTTTTGGCAGCTCGGAGAATGTTCTTTACAAATGATCTCTGTTCATGCTTAAACCACAGTCCTCCAAGGTGGGTATGATTTTTACTCCAGAGCGTGAGTTCTTAAATCTGATGTTATCCTGCCTAAGTTCACTGCAGCGTTGTTTATTACAATGAAAAAATGGAAACCAACCTAAATGTCCAGTGAGAGACTAGTTAAATTATGGATCCCTAAAATGGGTTTCTGTATACCAAAAAAAACCAAACCCATTGCCATCGAGTCGATTCTGACTCATAATGACCCCACAGAACAGAGCAGAACTACCCCACAGAGTTTCTAAGGAGTGCCTGGTGGATTTGAACTGCTGATCTTTCACTTAGCAGCCGTAGCACTTAACCACTACACCACCAGGGTTTCCAGGTTTCTATATAGCCACTAAAAATAATAATTAGATTATAAATGAATATTTATTAACATGAAAAAGTCCATAATTTATTGTAATAAAAAATGATTAAGAACAAATATATACAGCATAATCTCGTTTTGTAGTTTAAACAAAAAAGAATGTGCTTCTGTGTGTAGGCACAAAAAAAAAATTCTAGACGAATATGTATGAAACTATTAACAATGGTTATCTCTGGGCAATGGTAAAAAAGGCAATTTTTATTTCCTTCTTGATGCCTTTTTATATTTCTATAATAGTCATGTATTACTAATAATCATAAAAATATCCATTTCAACTTTTTTTGAACAAAGGCTGTTCCTACCTAAAACTCTTCTTTCTCCAGTGGTTTCTATCCATGACTTACTCTATAAGGAAACAATTTTGATTGTGCAAGCCATAGGTAAAGTAGATTCAAGATCTATTGTGCCAACAGGTAGTAATAGCTCTTAAACTTCTTTCATCTCTTCTTGCCTCAGACATTTCAATCATCTATGAAATCAACTTAAACTCCCAAATCACCCACTAAAACAAAGCAACCTGAAAAAAAATTTTTAAAAGCAGGCTGGGATTGGGGCAGGGGGTGGGGGTGCTACTTAGTGTGTTTTAACAGACCTATTTCCCATACTATAACGAAAGGTAGAAGTGTGGTTTCCAGGTATATATTCCTTTAGACCAAGGCTATACATTAAAATCAGCGGGGGAGCTTTTAAGACATTCTATGTCCAGGCCCCATCCCAAGATTTTGGAGTGGATCAGTACTTTTAAAAATCTCCCCCAGGTGATTCTAACATGTAGCCAGTGTTGAGAACCATTGTTTAAACCAAGTCCATTGCAACAAAAAATGAGGAAGTCAGGTAGAATTTATCATGAAGAAATTTCTGATGGCTTGAGTTTTTGGCACTGACCGGCAGGGTCAGATTATCCCCTAGGCAGGGTAAACTTACCTTGCTTACCAGATCATCTATAGTGAACAATTTCACATTTTTTCACCATATCAAATGTTCTGCTTCTAGGTTTGGCTGGCATCTGTCTCTCTCCCAACCCCATAGCACCCTCCTGCAGAATCAAAGCCTCTTTTTAAATTTACAGTCCCTGACAGGGGCAGATGACCCAGTTAGCAAGGTAAGCATAGGCTTGCTTGTGCTTACTTACTAATCTGTAGTGAACAATTGCGCATGGGTTTCACTACATCAGACTTTACTACAGATGATCTGGTAAGCAAAGTAAGCACCATGCCTACCTTGCTTAATGGTTAATCCACCCCTGAGGACAGGCCTCTCCTGAGAATTGTGCTTGGAGCTGTATCTCTAAGAGCAGTGATCAGCTAGCATGAATCCATCCACACTCCCTTCCCTGGGGAACTTAGGGCTTGCATTTGATAGGAGATTGACTAGTATTCACAGTCAGTAAACAAGGGATAGAGAAAAAGTGATTGCTCCCTTCCAGAATGGAGCCTCAAAATGTGAACTTTTTTCTTAGCTCAAGGAAACCTAGAAGAGAAGAAGGAGCAAGTTGCATGTGCCCCAGAGAGAAGGAACACTAAGGAAAGGAGGACAGGGGAAGCCTGAGGGAAGGGGCCAATGTCTGGGCTCAGAGGCAGATTGCAAAGTATGGGGAAGGGGGAGGAAAGAAAAGAGCAACAGCCTCTCCCCAGCATCATCAGAGATCTAGCAGCCCCAGCTTCTTCCTTCCATCACTGATCCTCAATTCTCTGTCTCCTGTTTTCCATTCAGTCGGAATCAACCAATGGGAAAGGCAACCTGCCTGTCACCTCAGCACTGCCTGCACTTTTGGAAAAGTAAGTTTGTTGATATTCCTCTTTATTTTAGGGCTGTCTGAGGAAAATTTCCCAAACTCACCCTCCTTCTTCCATTCCTCACCCCCAAAATGTAATGGAAAGCAAATTAAGTTTTAGGAGAAGAGAATGCGACTCTAGGACCCACAAAGATTTCAGATCCAGTTTGCAAAATTACTGGACAGGAAGGTGCTACTTCTGCATTCAAGGCTACAACAATTTAAGAAGAGCCCAGAGGAGATGAAAACCTTCTCTGTTGGTTGGATTCTTTGGGCTACAGATTCAAGAACGCCCCCATTCAAACTGGCTTAAAAAGCCCAGAAGTAGGGCTGTTGCAGGTATGGTACAGCAGGGTTCCAGCTCCATCTGTCTACAGTTTCTTTGCCTCTGCCTACTTTGTATGTTGACTTCATCATCAGACTCATGGAAAATGGCTGCTAGTTCCAGGTATCCCATCCACACATGACAATATCTAGAGGAAGAAAGGGACCATCTCTTTCCATGTTTCGTTCTTAAGAATGAACCCAGAAACCTTTCATCAGTCTTCCCTGTTACCTCTTTGGCAAAAATTGAAACATGGTCCCATTCTAAACCAATCACAGACTTTGGAAATTGAATTGTCATTGTGGTCTTACACTATTCCTTGGAGTTGGAGACAGGGTCAACTTCCCATGAAGCTTCTCTTCAAGAAGGGTCAATACCTGAGCAAAATCATGTTGCTGTTAGGAAGTAGGAAGGGGGGAGAGTATTGGATTGGAAACCAACAGTGTCTGCTTACTCCTGACTTTTCTAGGCATCTATGCAATTTGCAGGTCTTTTCATCCTCAGCCAGAGGAAGGCAATCTATTTCTACATACTCATAACTTGCTTTTCAAATTCTTTCATTTGCTTGCTGGGAAACATCTGGATCACAGCTGCCACCTCTCAGAACTTTCCCCTTGTGTCTTTCCTCATGTGGGAGAACATTCACCTCTATTCTTCCTTCTTACTCTCCTTGAGATAGCTTTAGTCCTTCATCTTTCATTGCTGTTGGAATAATTTTCCTTGACCTGGCAAGGAAAGTCTATATTGGGCCTCTTTTTAGTACAAATGACCTCCCAAGTTCCCCACCCCCAGACTCCGCCGGTACCCCTGGACTTTCCTCTCAGTATATGCAGTCACCAACCTATCACTCATTGACTCACCACATGTTAGTCTTGAAGTTTCCTCAGCAATTCCTCTCTCATCTCGCATAAGCTTACAGGCCCTTTATCTTGTGGACGGTATTTTCGTTTGTTGTTTTCCTGATCACTCTGGGGAAATTGCAAAGGGGTGACAAGTCAACAACCATGTGAAAGTAACCAAGGTTACAGAATCTTACCAAGTCCCTAGAAGTCATAGTGTCTCGTCTGTGGTCTCAGAATCTCTCCAAAATTGATCCATTGCAGCCTCTGAGTGAGAACCCGTTAAAACCATTGCCATTGGGTTGATTCCGACTCATAACGACCCGGTGAGACGGAGTAGAACTGTCCCATAGGGTTTCCAAGGCTGTAATCTTTACAGAAGCAGACTGCCACATCTTTCTCCCATGGAGTAGGTTCGAACCACCAGCCTTTCAGTTAGCAGCCAAGCACTTAACCACTGCACCGCCAGGGCTGACCAAAATTCCCCCTCCTCCCAACCCTGCCTTCAGGTGCACCAACCCCTTCTCCAGAAGAGTCCCTGACAAGGTCCTATTCCCATCTCTAGGCCTGAAGAGCCAGTCAAGGCAGAAGGTCTGTGTCCATACTTTCCCCCATAGACATGGATGAGGCAGGGCCTGGACTCTGTAGGACCAATGCTCAGGTCAGATGAGAGCTTCTACCCAAGACAATGAGGATCATCAAGAACCTGAACTAATCTTGGTAGGAGAAACTGGGGTGCAAAAATGAGGATAGAATACAGCAGCCCCAAATCCAAGTGGCAGCAAGTGAGGACTAATAATGGAGTCACTGGTCCAAGCATTTGAGCTAGGAAAAATAGCAATAGTGTGAGGACCGAGGTAAGTCAAACAAGGAGACCCCAGGAAGGTGTGTGCAGCTCACTCTTATGGGCTAGGCAGAGAGATTGCCATGATATATTAGCCATGCTGTGGGCTGGCTCAACTGTTAGGAATACACCCAGCCTATAAAGATGGCTGCAAAGGAATGGGGGGAATGGGGACTGGTTTTGAAAGGAGGAGGGATTCAGGACTAATGACAACTTCCCCCTCTGGATTTCTAAAAGGTTCTAAGTGATTTCCATCTGAATACATGAAGCTGAAACATTTAATAGATTTCCAAGTGGCTAACAATGATACAATTTGAGAGTGAAAATAAATTCATGTTTTCTGTTCTATACCCAAATGCAGTTAATTCTAGTCAGCTTATCAATATTATTAAAGAGAAATAATACACTATAATTTATTTAGCATGCGTTGCTTTCTAGATTGCTGTATTCAGCCTGATGTTAAAATGATTTCACATTTCCTAGGCATACAGTAACTAAGCAAGAAGGGAATTGGCCAAGCACAAGAAAGGTAATGAGAAGATCAAATAGCCTGTGGCTAGTTCACAAGCAAATACCTGATAGCTGAGTGTACTGCCAAATTTGATTTGAGAGAATTCTGAGCCTTGCTATTGTAGGTCACTTCATAATAAACTGCTCTTCACTCACCAAGAGTCTAGGAATGTGTAGACTTAGAGAAAAACATAGGTAGAGGATTTGTTATGGATTGAATTGTGTCCCCCAAAAATGTGTGTCAACTTGGCTAGGCCATAATTCCCAGTATTGTGTGGTTGCTCATCATTTTGTGATCTGATGTGATTATCCCATGTGTTGTAAATCCTAACCTCTATGATGTTAATGAGGCAGGATTAGAGGCAGTTATGTTAATGAGGCAGAATTCAATCTATAGGATTAGGTTATATCTTGAGTCAATATCTTTTGAGATATAAAAGAGAGAAGGGAGCAGAGAAAAGGGACCTCATTACCACCAAGAAAAAAGAGCCGGGGTCCCTGCACTGAGAAGCTCCTAGACCAAGACTGATGACAAGGACCTTCCCCCAGAGCCAACAGAGAGAGAAAGTCTTCCCCTGGAGCTGGTGCCCTGAATTCAGACTTCTAACTTCCAAGACTGTGAGAGAATAAATTTCTGTTTGTTAAAGCCATCCGCTTGTAGTATTTCTGTTACAGCACCACTAGATAACTAAGACAGAGTTATACTTAAAATTAGTCTTAAAGATGAAAACAGAACAAAGCTCAAGAGCAGTTCTACAAGTAGGAAGAGCCAGGCACATAGAATGCACTCAAGGAGCTCACAGTCTAGTGGAAAAGACAGATGGGGAAACAGCCTATTATAATGTGATGTGATAGCTGATATCATAAGGAAGTACAGGTTGCTAAGGGCACAACATGCATAAAAAACAAACAAACAAAACTTAACCCAGTTTTGGTATAGGGCAGGGGGAAGGAGAGACTCAGAAAATGTTTCCATAGGAACTTACTTTTAAACTGAAACCTGAAGGATATATAGTTGCACCTTAACATAAAGAAAACAAAAAGCCTCACAACTGGACCAACAAGCAACATCATGATAAAATGGAGAAAATATTGAAGTTGTCAAGGATTTCATTTTACTTGGATCTACAATTAACACCCGTGGAAACAGCAGTCAAGAAATCAAACGACATACTGCATCGGGCAAATCTGCTGCAAAAGACCTCTTTAACGTGGTAAAAAACAAAGATGTCACCTTGAGGACTAGGGTACACCAGACCCAAGCCATGGTATTTTCAATTGTCTCATGTGCATGCGAAAGCTGGACAATGAATAAGGAAGACCAAAGAAGAATTGCTGCATTTGAATTATGGTGTTAGCAAAAAATATTGAATATACCACAAACTGCAAGAAGAACAAACAAATCTGTCTTGGAAGAAGTACAGCCAGAATGCTCCTTAGAAGCGAGGATGGCGAACCTTCATCTCACATACTTTGGACATGTTATCAGGAGGGACCAGTCCCTGGAAAAAGACATCATGCTTGGTAAAGTAGAGGGTCAGTGAAAAAGAGGAAGACCCTTAACGAGATGGATTGACACAGTGGCTGCAACAATGGGCCCAAACAGCCACAATTGTGAGGATGGCACAGGACTAGGTAGTGTTACGTTCTGTTGTCCGTAGGGTTGCTAAGAGTCGGAACCAACTCAATGACACCTGACAGCAAGTGAACAGTAGGTTAACAGCATTCCAGGCTTGGAGAGGAGAAAGCACATGGCATATTCAAGGAATAATAATAATAACTACTATTGTTTACTGCACGCTTATTTTATTCTAGATGCTCTATTAATTGATTTACATTAATGATCTCATTTAGTCTTTATAATAATCCCATGAAATAAGCATACTATTAATATCCTTACTTTATAAATGAGGGAATTGAAGCTCAGGGAAATTGTCACTTGCCCAAGGTTACATAGCTAGTAGATAGCAGAGCTGATGCTCTTAACCTCTTAATACACCCTGCAACTGAAAGAACAGAGATAATTTCAGTATGACTGGAGAAAAGAGGATGGATTTAAGAATGTTTCAGAGGTAAAAGAGCCTGGTGGGTGACTGGCTGTGGCATGGAGCCAGCAGTGGGGTGTGAGCACAGTGTGCGTGCAGAAAGCTACTCACTGCCTGAGGTGATCAGCAAAGCCAGGTTCATGGATGATGCTCGAGGTTAGTTTTGTAAAAGGGACATGATACCAGTATATCACAGAGCAATTTTAACTATAATATCTAAAATAACTACACGTTTGAAGCAGCCAATGTAAGTTGCCTAAAAGTTTTATACAACATTACATTTGTGTAACGTCTCCTCCTTGCTGATAACATTCTGGAGTGCGTGGCAGCTAAAATTATCCCCAGTAAACTTGTAGTGGATTCCAGAAGCCTGGGCCTGAGTAATGGAGCAAGGAGGATCTTCTAGCTCAGGTCCCCTGGGTTGGGGTGCCTGAGGGAGCCATGGCAGAGGGGTTGACTTAGAAACATTGCTGAACCCAAGAAGGTAAGATCTGTCCACTGGAGAGTATTGTGGTCGCTTTCAAATGTTGTTTACCATGTGGGAAAAAAAATGAATCTAATATACTTGCCTGTCAAACAATGCATTTTTATTTAAAAAACAAAAAAACTCTCACACTGATTGCTGAGCACAAGGACAAAGATTTTTGACCTGGTAGACATTCGAGAACAACGAGCCTCATCCTAATGAATCATCCCAGAAAGAAAGCACACAGGACTTCGGGCTGGGGACAGAAGGTTTCATGAGGGTTTGTCCCAGAAGTCTCAAGGGTGGGCACAGGCTGTGCTTAGCTCCCAGATTATGGCCATGAATAGAGATGCCTTCAACCCAACCCAAACACTGGGTTCTCAGGAAGTAGCCATTTACAGGGAGGACCTGCCCATTTTACAAGGTTAATAGGAGGCTGGGACTGGATGAATCACAGTAAATTAAGTACAATTCAACAAACACGGAAAGGCACCTACTGTGTGCCAAGCACCATTCTGAGTGACAAAAGCAGTCCCTTCCCTATGATCACGGTCAGGTGGAGGGACGGGCATGCATACAAAACCTAAAAATGCTCTGTCTGGCAGTCATGCTATAACAGAGGTATGGGAGGATGCAGAGTGAGGGAGAGAGAAATCTAACCAGAGGGCATGGAGGAGGAGGGAACATTAGCGAAGTCTCCATAGGAAAGAAGGTATTTGCCCTGAGTGTTGATTCATAAGGAGAAAGGAGAACTTCCAGGCAGTTAGAGCAGATATTTAAACCAAAACCAAACTCATTGCTGTCAGTCCCAACTCATAGTAACCCTATAGAACAGAGCAGTACTGCCCCATAGGGTTTCCACGGCTGTCAGTCTGTATAGAAGCAGACTGCCACATCTTTCTCCCGCAGAGAGGCTGGTGGGTTCAAACCACTGACCTTTTGGTTAGCAGCCAAGCCCTTAACCACTGTGCCACCAGGGCTCCTTCAAGCAGATATTTAAGGAACTAAAAACTCAGTCTAGAGGTCAGTAGATATTAGCAAAATCTTTATGTATTTTGTGTTTCCTCCACCTCCCACCTTAACCCTAGTATTAGACCAAAGGCTTTCCTAGCCCATCTCATACACTTTAAAAGGAGGGCAGCATGGTAAGTCGTGGCTCAGCCTGAGGGTGGGAATGGCTTCACTCAGCAAGTGCTCTTGCCTCAGGCCCCACACACAGCTCAGAATCCTGGGAAGAGACTTCTATTTAAAGAGGAAACCCAGGGAGGGGTGGGAAGCACATTTTGACATGAAATTAGAAGACCAAGGTGAGTGTACCAGCCAGGCCAGCCAAACACCAATAGTGTGAACATTGGCAAGCCACTTAACAAAGCTGAGTTTGGGCTTCTCATCTGTCAAATGGGATAATATTCCTCATGGGTGGCAGATAGTGCAGTCAAGAGCTTGGGCAGATGTCAGGCTGCATAGGGTCAAATCTGAGCTCTGCCACACACTAATTGTGTGATCTTGAACTTGTTATTTAGCTTTTCTGAGCCTTGCTTGGCTTCCTCACCTGTCAAACTGAGAACAATATATTACCTACCCTGTTGGATCATTCATGAGGCTTAAATAAGATCTTACCACAGTGCCTGATGCATAGTAGATAGTGTATAGATGTTAGCTTTTACTATCATCAGAGGATGAAGTGAGAGAAGGTATATGAAAGTATGTTGCAAACCAAAGCTCCATACCAATATAGGGTGAGTCAAAATAGAAGATTAATATGTTAACGAGTTGGTGAAATGGGCTTCTTGGCTCTCCCAAATCTGCAAGGAAGGAGTTTTAGTCTCTAGATAGTAGTGACCTGAGTACAGTGAGAGGCTTATTTATGGTCACTTGGTCAGCAAAACTCCAAGGCACATGAGTATGTTATGGTACATACATGCTCCTGAGAAATTTATTAGAGCAATTTTATGTAAATTTAATCATACTTTAAATTAGTTCACATTTAGGTTCCCACTGACTCTGAGGCGTTGCTATAATATATATCAAGTTCTTCCTTGAAGATATAAATAATCATCTCGTAATTTATCAGCTTGAATTTGTTTGTGGATCAGGTTTGGTGGAGCTTCAGATTGCTCCCAAAACTTGCTAATAACTTTACTACATAACAACAATGACAATAGTAATAGATACCATTTGTTGAGCACGATATTACAGAAAGTTTACTTAAATTTTTTCATTAATTATTACAGCACCATCCTCAGGTATATATTATTATCCCCATTTTACAGTTGAGGATTCTGAAGTTCAGGAAGGTTGAGTTATTTGCATGTGTTGGAGTTGAGATAGAAGCCCAGATTTGCCTCAGGCAGGTTCTTTCCTCTACACTGCCCTCCTTCATACATGTTTGACATTAAGTAACCTCGAGAGAAGACAGCTGTAGGTAAAAGAAGTTAAAGGTATGGTACCAATATTTCATTTCTAATATATAAATATATTTCTTAAAAGAATTACTTCCCCAGCTCTTGGCTGGAGCTGTGTTTTCCTGCTCCTGCTCCAATCATTCGGACAAATAGGAAACTGCAGATTAGGCAAAGGTCACATGGAAGGGAGTGGATAATATAATTTGCAAATGGAGAAGTGTTATGAATAGCTGGTATTTTTAGAGTGTTATCTTTCTTCTTCACAATGGGTTTTGGTTTCCAGCCTAATGAAATGTAAATTTTGCAAGGTCTGAAGAAAAATAAGACATGGGAAACTAATGCCAAGAATGAGGAAAAGACAGAAGGCTCACTTGTAAACCCTGCCTGGGATGTCAGAGAGGGATGTCAGCTGTGATCTTTCAGAGTCCTGGCTTAAAGCTCTGGTCATGGTTTTGCTTTGTTTAAGGGCTGCTCCATGACGGTATTACTCCCATTGGATTCTAGATCCCTAGCTGGACTGTAGGACTCATAGGAAAGTCATGGCCATTAGGATACTTACTTCAAACTCATGATCCCGTACCTCCAGTGGTCTCTGCCCAGCAACCTCACTATGATTTTCTAGTCCGTTTGCTTTCCCACTCTCCTACATGACTCTTTTACCTCTTCTCCTTTCTCCTCAAACCTTTCCTAGACCTCTCTACGTTTCTCTCTCTCTCTCTCTCTCTCTCTCCCTCGGCAGATGACCTTGCCTCCCATTTCATTTAAAATTTAAAATTTAAGCTATTAGATAGGATCCGTCTCATCTTCCTTTGCCACATCTCTAATCCATCATCTTCATCTTCTTTCTCCCATTGTTTTAACTAAGAAAGGGTTTCTCCATCTTTCCAAGATCTGTCCCTACTTCCCTTTTCAAGGACTTTGGTTCTTTTGTCATTCACTTTCTCTCATCCTCTCTGCTGGATCATATCCATTCACATTCAAATGTGCTTTCATCCTTTGACCCCACTTCTTCAGCTACATATGTCCCCCAACATGCTCCTCTCTTCCCCTTCCCAATAAAATTATTGTGTCTGAGTCTTGCCTTTTCTCCCCTCCCATTCTTTACTACATCCATTCCAGTCTGCCCTTGGCTCCCACTATTTCCTCGAAGCTCCTCTTGACCTCTGTATTATCAAATCTAACAGTCACTGTTTCTGTCTGCATCTGACCCAGACTCTCAGAAGTATGTGACACAGTTAATTCTTCCCTCCTCGACACTGAGTTCCATTGGCTCCCAGAACTCCACACTCTCCTGGTTTTCCTCCTACCCCTCTGGCTGCTACTTCTCAGTCTCCTCTGTATGCTCCTTATTCTTGGCCTCATCTAAGTGCAGAGATCCCCACAGCTTGGTCCTGGGTCTTCTTCTTTCTTTGTACTGTTTCTCTAGGTGATCTTACCCATTACCCTGACTTTAAATATCATCTACATTCTGATAATGCCAAATGGTGTATATCTCCAGCCTAGAGCTCTTCTCTGGCTTACTTTGGTATATCCAACTGCCTAATTTGATATCTCCACTTGAGTAACTCACAGGCATCACAAATTTATCTTGTCCAAAAGTTAACTCCTGCCATATTGTCTCTTTTTAGTTCTTCAAACACGCCAGTGTCTATCATGTCTCAGTGCTTCATACATCCCATGCCCTCTGTGTGGGATGATCTTCCCTCTGCTATTGATGCAGCTGACCTCTTGTCATCCTTCAGGTCAGGGCTTCAATTTCACTGCCTCAGGGAGGCCTTTCCTGACCACTCCATTTAAGCACATCCTCCCCTTGTTATTTTCTGTCACTGCACAGAGTTTATTTCTTTCATAAAAGATAGCACAATTTGGAATTAATTATGTATTTTTTCTTTCCTTCTTTTTTGGCTGTTTCTCCTGCTAAGCTCCATATTAGCAGAGACCATATCTTTTATTTTTAATCTATCCCTAGCACATTACATTGTGCCTGTAACTTAGTCAACGCTCAAGGATAATTGAAAGAATGAGTGAGAGTCATGAAACAAAAGATGTACTACAGGAATGGAATGACCCAGAATGTTTTGGGTTGTCTCCATCTTCCTCATCTTAGAGCCGGGTAGCTCCCAGTAGTCATCCATCTGCTCACAGAATCTCCTGGAATAAGAACAAAGGTAGATTAGGCAGCATGAGAAAGGGAGCAGGTGGTATAGTATTTGGTGTTTGAAGATCCAAGGAGTACACATGGGCCTTTATAAAATCTTGTCTCAGGGTAGAAGAACTGAAATGAATTTGAAAGCTACTGAAAGAACCTGAGTTTCCTCACTTTTGAACAGGAATCAGGCCAAAGACATGGTTTGTTTTCAGATGCTCAACCTTTCCCTGAAATAACGCCCTGTACTTTCCTCTTCTCACCAGTGGAAAGACAAATGGAGACCCAGATTGTGAAGCCTCTGCTCCCATCCCGACCCCAATCTGCCTGGAGGAAATTAGCCAGGAGACCAAGGCCAGGATAGAGGAAGAAGCTTACAGCAAGGGGTGAGTCAGACCTAGCCACCCTGAGGTCACCTGACTGGTTGCAGAAGATACCTTCCCATGGGCTTTTTCTGTTTCTTAGAGACTTCAGGGAAGCAACCAGTGGCCCCAGGACCTCCTTGCCCCAGTAAGGAACTACATAAGAAAGAACAGTACCGTTCCACAGGACGGGCAGAAGGAAACAGAGTCAGAGGGTGTGGTTAGACAATAACTACCCACTTTTTAGGCAGAATGCCACTGGAACATCACTGCCCAGAATGATCTGGAAATCAGGGGCCCTGGTTGGGTTCCTCCTGGTGGTGCCTAAGGCTTCCTGACATGTGCACAGGGCTGTCACGTTACTGCCAACAATGCCCAGAAGCAGCTGCCACTCTGCTTCATAGAATTGCTCTGGTCATCCCTTCTTCCTTTAAGCAGGGGTCCCTCAATGTCTGACCATCCCCGTCTGTAACTGAGCTTCAGTAGCATCTTTGACCACTTACCAGTTGCTGACCACATAGCAAACTGTGCAGGGACCAAGTCCAGGCGTCAAGATAGAGAATTACCTCTGACCAGGCATTGCATCCTGAGCTTCTCTTCCCCATGGCTCACGAGGGAAATGCGGCTTCCCACTGACACAGAACCCTTGGGCTTCTGTGTGGTGGTCACATACACAGTAGTGACATTGCCCCAGCCAAACTGTTGTTCTTAAACACTCAACTGCACGGCAAGCAAACAGAGTCTCTTCAGAGTAATATTAATCCTGGAAAAGGGAAATCAGAGGGTTTCTTTTGGAAATAAATTGCCCTTTATACCCAAAATGGGATAAACTCCTCTAATGGCTTTGTAAGCATTTACTGATCACCCTCCCTAGGCCAAGCTGTGAGTCTGGCACTTTCGCAAAACTTCCCAATAAGCCCGTGAGATGGGTGTCACCCTTTCTAGGCCAAGCTGTGTTCCGGGCACTTCCATGAAACTCGCCAACAAGTTAGTGAATGGGTGTCACACTCTCCAGGCTACGCCATGTGCCTGACACTTCCTCAAAACATTCCAGCACCCTGTGAGATGGGTGTTACCCTCTCTATTTTACAGGTTAGAGACGGAAGCTCCCAGGGTTATACAGACAGCAAATGCAATCTTAACCCTGTTGAATGCTTGATTGGATAAGAATCCAGTCAGGAGACCCTTCACCCACATTTTTTCCCTGTCAGTTTTGTCATTGTCACACTTTCACATAAACAGGAAGGATGACTGAGGAGTGAGGGGAACTTGTACTGACACGAGCTACCTTGGGATTTAGTGAAGTTTCCCAGCTTTTTCCTGTTGTGTGGAACCACAGGAAGTGCGTCATTATGGAGTTGCTCAAAGCCTCTCCCCTAGGAACTCAGGAAAGGATGCTACAGACCTGGCCTTTCCTTTTTGTCTTTCAGATACCAGGAAGGTCTAAAGAAGACTAAAGAACTTCAAGACCTGAAAGAGGAGGAGGAAGCACAGAAGACTGAGAGTCCTGAGGAACCTAAAGAGGCAGAAGACACTGATGAAGAGAAAAAGGACCAGAAAAGCAGGTGGGAAGCCTGTACTTGGAGCCTTTGTCAGGCAGGTCAAGAGTTGCTGCTGCTAAAATAGGTCACAGTTCATTTAATTGCACAAAATCCCTAGAACCACCAGTCCAGGGTAGCAGTGGGTCGGGGCCCAAGTGAGGAAACGCAGAAACCAAGAGGGCCCTCATGTTGAGACAGAAGATAAAAGAAATCTCAAAGAGCCAAAAAAGTTAACAAGGGAACATTTGCAAGAGCTGAGAGGTGAGGGAGAGATGTGGTTAAGGGCAGAGGAGACAGCAATCAAGAACTCTCAGGAGCTAAGAAAGGGTGAAGGACCCCTGACTAAAGTCCCTCCTGGCCCAGCCACAGTTAGCTCATTTCCCAGCCATCCCTACAAAAGAGCCAATGCCAAGGGAGATTGACTGAAGTCCTAGAGGGGTTTCTTACAAAAACAGGGGCACAGAGAACACATGGGGGCAGCGAACAGACCCAACTCCTGGCAAAGGTGAGTCTCCAACAGAGCCCATCCATGCTGACCAAACAAGCTCGGTCATTTGGACAGTGTCTTCACTTGGATTGGAAATAATTGATTTCTTTAAAAATGTGTCTTTATATTTCAAGTATATTATCTTCTAAATCAGAGGGAAAAATATAACATGTAGATACAGACAGAGTGAGTCCTCCATCTTGTCCTACATGTGGTGCTACCTGGCCTTCAGGATTCAGAATAGTAGAAATAGCCTCATCTAGTTCCAGGGTACTCTACGCAGCGAGGTATTATGGAAATAAGGTCTCAGCCCCACTAGGCCAGGACTACACCATAGAAGTAAATGCGTAGGGACAGACAAATTGGTGCCTATAGAAGGAGTGTACTCTTCCTTATGGATATAGTGACTACATCAATGTCCTAGATTTTCAGGACAGCCCCAAGTTCATACATTCTGCCCTATTGTCTCCATTAGTACATTCAAACCACAAGTTTGAATTTTGATTTTAAAAAATGTGGTTATACCAACCTTGAAACATTTCACCAGAATCTTTGTTTTCAGACCCCCCAGGCTATTCTGAGATCCAGGGAAGCTCCAGCCAAAATGATTACTTATCTAATCAGCTACTAAACTTGAGGGGAGGGTACATGTCTGCGCCTCATTGCTGGCAAACTCTGGAAATCACCTGCATGCAGTGAAAAAGATAGTAACGATTAGAAGGGATGGATATGCTTCACAGCACATAGGAGCCACCAATAGAGCCCAGTTGGTGGAAGATTCAACTAGGATGAGAGGTCTCAGCCTGCACAGGTTAACCCCATTGTTCAAGGGACGATCAGGCTAGGAGAGCTGTGGAAAATCCTTCACTGTTGAAAACAGACATGTGCTAGGATACACCCACCTCCCCTAATGAAAGGACCTCCAAGCTTAATCAGTGAAAACACAATAGCTACTCCAAGCAGCTGGATTCTTCTCTCCTAAGGTCTCACCTTCTTCTTGGGGGTCCTCTGCTCTTATTTTTTAGACCACTACACTGCCTTCTTAATGCAGTCAAGCCCAAGCCTGGACAAAAGCCCCTCCTTTGGCTCCCCTGAATACATCTATGACAGGCAGGGGCTTCTAACACTTCCAAACACTGAGAAGGAACAAAAGAGACATAAACAGAGAGAGTACATGGAATATAAACAGTATGGTTTACAAAGCACAGAGCTCCAATCTTTATCTAGCTAGATTGATCTCAGACAATTGGTGGCTCCTTTCCATTTCACGAAACCTCAGAGAAAGTAAGACTTTGCTTAGGGACTTCTCTACCCAGCTCCTGGTCATTGGCGGATGGTAATGGCCACCCTTAACACCCATCATCTTAGAGTGTCCTCATAGTTATGGATGCTGAAAGGCCTCATTCCCTCTCCTAAACTTGCTCCCTCTTGGACTGCTTTTTCATTTTGGAAACATGCCTGTCCCTGGGATGAGGGATCCCAGGCATGAGCACAACCCTCAGAAGGGTCCCAATCCTTCTTCACAGGGGTGTGGCTTCACCTTTTCAGGCCCAGCAGTACGCATCATCTTCTCCATAAGGACTATTATATTGCTATCATATAAACATCCCACTCACAGTTATAGGGTCCCTTCCTCATTTCTGACCCAAGCCAGACTGGCCCCAAGAGCTGTCATCTTCAAGGCCAGGCAGTCCTCATCCATTCCTGAGTGCCTTATCATACAGTGGCCTGTGGGCATCTGCACTCAAACATGATTCCCCATGAAATTTTGGTACCTCATTAATAAACAAGGTCTGAAGTTATTAAAAGTTCCATGTCTCATAGTGCATTTTAAAAACATTGGGCTAATCCCAATATTTGACCCCTTATTCAAGAGATTCAGTATCAAATACTAAAAACCTTTTGTCTGAATCTCTTCTCCATTATAATCTATAATAATATAATCTGTTATAAACATTACTCTCTGGAGGACCAGTTTAAATGAACTCTGGATGAATCAGCCTAATATTTTAACCATATTAAGATAGAGAACACAGTCTTCCAACATTTATGTAATACATTGAACAAGTGGGACTGATAAAGTGCTACAGAAAACTTTTGTCTTTTCTTCCACCACCTGTTCAAACCTGTCCTGTGGGGTTAGGATGATATTTCGGCATGTCCTTTTACTTTTCCAATAACTCAGAAACAGAAGTCCTCTGGTTGGTTTCCTGCTGCCATTGAGTTGATTCCAACTCATAGAGTCCCCAAAAGAACTTCATTTCAGTAATTAAAATGGCCAGCCTCCTGAAATAATCAAAAGCCCGAACTTCTTATAAAGAAGCTCTGGTCTCCTCCTGGAAGGAATCCTGCAGTGGGAATGGGGCACATGGTTGGCTTCTTTCTGTAGATCCCCACTTGCACTTCTACCCCTCTGCCCCCAACTTTGCTAATGCAGTGTCTGACCTCTTCAGGGTTAATGCTAAGAAAAGGAATTTAGATTAAGGGATAGGAAAGGTCTTACTTGACTGGTATTAACTGTGCGTTGGCTTCCGGGCTTACCAGAGGTTTAGAGCTGACTTTCTCTAGTGTAGCACTTTCCAGGACCTTCAGAGATAACCATTCCTCCCACCACCCCCAACATATACACACATTTACACCATTACTGGGGATATTTCAATGCTCTTCCCTTTATGAGGGTGAATGCTCTCTTTAGGCTGGTCACTTAAAATTCCTCTCAGTCCTTGGGCAGCCAGAGGTATACATTCAGCAGTTCTGCTGGTCTCCTCAGCTTCTAGGTAGCTCTCCCAGGCAGGATCTAAGATCCTCGATGCCAGCTCACCTTCGTTTGACTATATCCGGTAAGGTAAATATATACCTTTGGCCCAGTATTAATAGGAGGACAATAATGGCTCCCTAGTCTGATGCCATAAAGCACTTTGGCTTTGGCAGGATTCTTGCCCTTTAGATTTCTTATGTGTGAGTCACACACCAGTGCACTGTGTCACCCAAACTGTAGCATATCAATCTCTCCAAGCAGCATTTCTGAAGCTCCTCTTGCTAGGCCCAGTTGTGGGAGAAGCAACCCTACCCCTCTCTTTGGGGGAGTGGGTGGGACTCATAATAACCAAAGATTTGTTTCCAGAGGAACAATATTTATAATCTAATTCTACTTCCTATCTCTTTTATAGACTAGCAATAGATAATCAGCTAAGGGACGCAAAGCCAGTTCTTGACCTCCTCCTTGGCAGTCCCACTTAAGAGGTCTAGTAGCTTGTTTTGGAACATGGAAATACAGCCCCCCCAAAAGACACCATTATAGCATCCAATTATATCTTATAAAAATTAAAGAATCTAAATAGAGCTGGAAGAAAATAAGCTTCCATTTCCAAACTCTCCCTTCCTTACAGTTGGGAAAACAACCAGTGATTTTCACATCAGCTAATTTGCTCACTGTTTTGCTTAACTGTTCCTAAAATGATGGTCAGAGGATTCCCACACAGAGGAGAAACCAGTCAATTTTCCCTGTGGCCTTAGCATCCGAGGCAGGCACTGCTGAGCATCTAGCCCCTTTCTTAGGAAGTTATTTGTTGAATCATTGGGTCCATCATAACACATGTATTTTCTACTAACTCTGAATTAGAGCTCTCTACTTCTCAGCAAACGGCCTCATGTTGCAGTGTCTATGTGAGCCTCGGGACCTTCAAAAAGCCCTTCTGTTACTTTCCCCCCTTCTTCCACTTGATAATCTTCCCTATTCTCGTTTTTCATATATTTTTTAAAATAGATTTAGGCTTAAAAACAGGAGGAAATTCTAGCTTAATGAAGGTTTCCAGGGCTTCTCCAGAAAGTGCTAAGAATGGATTCTTCAAAATGGGCTGTCTGGCCAAATGTCTTTTTACTAAACCACAAAAAGAAGGGAAAAGTTGAAAGGCAGTTGGGAAGGGAGCAAGAGGAAAAAGGGGAGGGAAGGAGGCAAAAAATGAAGGGACAGAGAGACAAAAAGGAGGGAGAAGAAAGGGAAGGAGGGAAGAAAGGAAGGAGAGTATGGGGAGACAGTGGGGGAAGAGAAGGAGGAGGGAGAAATTAGGGAATGAATATTGCCGTAATAGGGTTGAGAAAACACCTTGAATAAGCCACCCAGAGCTTACTGGAGGTTACCAGTGATCTGGTTGCTCCTAGGGTGATTTGACATGAGCTCTTGAGATTAGTCTAACTCCTTGCCATTTATCACTGAACATCATGTGTTTTCTGAGAGTATAGCATGGTTTTTCCACTCTGGATGCAGTCAGATGAGCACCAAATTATGCATCTGGGTACAGAGGCTGGGATCAAGTTGGAACTTGGAACTGAGCACTAATTCAGCTAAGTGGAGAAAAGATGCTGGCCCTGTCTGGATGTATGGCAGTACGTGTCAGCCAACCTGGTATCCTGGAGTCTATCACAGAGCTTGGGAGAGTGCAGATCTCAATGGTCATCTCATAGGTAGATGAGGGCATGTGTGAATGGATAAATGAATGATCTAACAACTAAAGAGTTTTGTATACCAGTAGGTCCCAACATCAAGGCTATGGATTAGTGGCCTTAAAAACACCTGGGGGAATTTTTTAACTATAGATTTCTAGACCCCATAACTTTGGAGATTCTTATTCCATAAACCTGAGGTATTTTGAATAATTGCTGCCAAGCTATTCTTTGTGCAGCTGAGTTTGAGAACTCTAGACAGCATAGAAGGTATCCCCAAAGAGAGAAGTGTGGATCTAGCCAAATGTTTGTCCCATATACTAAACCCTCCACTTTTTTTTCATTTGACAGCAAACTTGAAGAATTGGTTCATTTCTTACAAGTCATGTATCCCAAATTGTGTCAGCACTGGCAAGTAATCTGGATGATGGCTGCAGCGATGCTGGTTTTGACTATTGTGCTGGGGCTCTACAATTCTTATAACTCTTGTGTGGAGCAGGCTGATGGCCCCCTTGGAAGAGCCACTTGCTCGGCAGCCCAGAGGGACTCCTGGTGGAGCTCAGGACTCCAGCATGAGCAGCCCACAGAGCAATAGGAAGTCTGATGCCTAGCCAGTGTCCTGCTACCCTCAGCCTATCACCCTTTCCCCAAATACAGTGTCAGGCCCAGGTGTGGGCACGCTGCACTTCAGTCCCACAAGGGAATGAAGAGGGATTCTTTTCACATGCAGTACCTCTGTGGGAGCTATTCATACACAGTAACTGATGTTCTTGGAGGATCAACAAAACTGCTCTGGGAAAGCATCTAGTGTATGAAGATGCCACCTTCACCAAGGAAATTTAGCTGAAGGGAGGGCCTCCTGCCCCTAGCTCAGATGGCTGGGGAGAACTGAAATACCTTCACTGAGAGGGGGACAATAAAAAGCTCACTCTACTCTTTTCTCTTCTTTACTATTGGTTACCAGAAAGAATTGTTCTTAAAGGCCAACATTGACCCTAAGGATCAGACCTGGAATTTGGAGTTGCAACGTGAATATCTTCCTATTTCCCATCTTATTCTCACTGACTATCCCTCAGCCTCCCCTTCTCCACTTTGGAATTGGAGTTTCTTTTTAAAGAAGTAGGAGAGGTTTCTCAGAAAAATATATAATCTGTATTTAGCTCAATGTTTGAAATGAAATGGGAAGATGTGAATTAATATGTATGCATCTGTATACACACACAACATGCATGTGCACGAAGCCAACACCCCTCCAAACATGCTATGGGCGTGTGCTCCAGATAAAGAAAATGCACGTCAAGCCAACCCACGGATTGTCACTAGGTGTGGGGCAGTCACCAAGCACCTGTATTCAATAAGCTCTTCACATGGACTTAAGATGTTTAAAAAACACTGAAAACTCATGGCTTCAGTGACGAACTTGCTGGTCTCCGTTTCAAAAGCCAACTCTAAGCACAGTCTACTCCTTATTTGTTCTCTCCTTTTGAGAACACTTAACCCACCTCTCAGCTGAATGAGGAGAAATGGTATATTTTCAGCTTCAGTCTTACCCCGTGTGCCCACATACAAGTGCGCATTTTCACCTTAGTGCTTCACTTCAGACAAGATTTCCAGCCCAAATATATGTTTCAGAGCACTTCTGATTGATTAACATAAAACTGAGGAAGCACATCCCATCTCCAATTTGTCTTCTCTCTCTACCTTTACAGCCACTGCCTTTGTTCAGCTATCATCTGTTTTTTGGGGGTGTTGATTTTTGTTGTTAACTATTTTGCTTTTATTTTTGTTTTGTTGTTTGTTATTTGTTTTTGTTTTAACACTTATATAGAACTTTCTATGAGCCAAGCACTGTTCCAAGAATTATATAGGTATTAATTCACTTATTCCTCAAGAAAAAGAAAAAAACTATGAGGTGGGTAGTACTCTTCCCACTTTCAGATTTGGAAAAATTTAGGCACGAAAAAGATAAGTAACTTGTCGAGGACACCCAGCTGGTAAAGCTTGAACTCAGGTCCCTGGCTCCAGGGGCTGTGTTCTTAATCCGTACACTAAATTGCCTCTTCCAATGGTTGCCTAACTGGATGCCTTACATTGTAGTCTTGCATGTTTCCAGTTCACAAACAACAGAGCCTTAAGCGTGCTCTTCCTAAAGCAAAAATCTCAGAATGTCATCCCCTGCTTAGAACCCTTCAGTGACTCCCCCTCACCTATAGGATAAGATTCACTTTCTTCACTCTACTTGGCATCAAAGCTTCCCAGGATATGACCTCCTCCTCCTCTTTTGTAGCCTTGTGCGTGGGCTGCTACTCTGCCCAAAAGTGACCCTTTAGCTACTCCAAACCACTTCTGGTTCTTAAACTAAACTATTTTCCCTCACAGTTCTGTTCCTCCTCTCACTAGTTTTTCTTCTGCTATTCTCTTCTATTCTATTCCACTTCCTGTTCAATCTTCAGTACCAAGTACAGAAATAATCCTCCTCATACAGTCTTTGATGACCTCTCCTCATACTCCTCACTATACCCAACATAATAGGTCACACCCTCCTCTGTGCTTTCTGGAACTTTTTAATATTTTCGTTATTGACCCTTATCACAATAACTTATTTATGTGTCTGTCTCCCCTAATGTTTTTCCTCAAAGATAAGAACCACGTCTTGGCCATCTCTGGGTAAGTGCCTAGCATGGTGGCTGATGCGTGGGAGGGTATCATTAAACGTTGGTCAAAAGAACAAGTGGGCATTCAAGGTAGTGGAGAGCAAGCTGAGGACAGCTGATATTTTGCATGCTTCTTGCACCAACGCCATCACCACCACCATCTCAGTGAGAAAAGCGACAGCTTTATTAACCTCAGCTTATTCTAATATTTCTCCATCTCCTCTGTGAGACAGCAGGAATGAGACCAGACTAGCAACACTATTTTGAAGCTCAAGGGCTGGGCTTGATGCAATCACTGCCTTCTGAGAAACTCACCTAAAGCAGGCCCCACTTTAAAACAGCATGTCTTTTTAAGGGGTCATCCTTTACAGTCGCTAGAAAAACACTGTGAGAGAAGCCCAAGCCAGGGCTGACCAAGGATGTGCCATTAAGGTAAAGAGGTGCAGAGCAGGGCAGAAGGACTTTGGGGGCATGGGCAGATGGTTTACTCTGCCTCTTCCAGTGGGACTGAAGACAACTGAAGAAGCTTTAGCTACATGAGGCCCTCAGAGCCAAGGACAGAATGCGAATGGAGCTCCAGAGAGAGTGGCCATGTGGCAGGACTCTAGGCTGGCAATGGTCCAATCTCAGCCTCACAAGCTGAACTGGCCCATTGTCTACTTGAGACAATGGCCAGAGAGGAGGTGCCAGTAAGCTCCTGAACCTCCAGATGCACCACAGAAAGGCCTATAAGAGTACTTTCAGACACAGACCCCTTGTCCATACTAGTCCAGTTGTAAGGAAGGAAGGTTGAGGAGCATAAGAGTAGCCACATTTACAAGGGCATTATTGAAAAAGTAGTACTCATTGGTATTTATTTTCTGAAAAGCAAAGATCAATCTGAAGCAGTTGAGCTGCTCCAAAGCAGCATTGTAATAGAGAGAAACAGGCCCTAGATTTCCACAATGGCATTGATCTGAAATAAAAGTTCCCCTCAAAATGCCTCTGAAGTCTGACATTTCTGCTTAGCCCTAGGAGCCTGGTTGCCTACCTTTAATTGCAGAGTGATGCGTTTGTGTCATTGTTGATGTCACCCAAAAAGACCTTCACTTTCTGCCTGCCACAAAGCCCATATGTATTGTTCCCCATGTACAGCCTGGCAGAGTTAATGAAGAGGGAGATGTTGGATTTGTGTTATCACTGGCTGTCAGTTCGTAATGTTGTTAAGCCTGACACAGTTGTGCTAATGTTGAACTGTAGAGTGTCACATACTTGAGTTTGAAAATAAAACATATTTCCAAACCTCTGGCAGCAGCCAAATGCCTCCTGATTTCATGGAACTAAGCCACAATTTTACCTCAACCCTGCCAAAGCAGGTCCCATTCACTAAAAACAAGCCTTCTTCCCCAAAACTTCACACTTTCTTTATTCCCCTCATTGCCTACCAAATTCAGAAGATTCAGCTGAGGACTCTGAGGACAGAGAAGATGGCAGAACCATTAGATAGAAGCTGGGTCTTTGAATGGGTGGGCATGCACAACATTGAGCTGTGACATGAGCAAGAAATAAAATCTTATCATATTAAACCCCTGAGATTCAGGGATTTTTTTTATGGCAGCCTACCCTGACATTTGAACCGAAAGTGGGATGCTTTCATAACAAAAATCTCTGGCTGAGACCAGAAGAACTAGATGGTGCCCGGCTACCGCCAATGACTGCCCTGACAGGAAACACAACAGAGAGTCCCTGATGGAGCAGAAGAAGAGTGTGGTGCAGAACTCAAATTCACGTAAAAAAAACAGACTTAATGGTCTGACTGAGATTGGAGGAGCCCTCAAAGCCACGGCCCCTGGACGCTCTGTTAACCAAGAACTAAAACCATTCCTGAAGCCCACTAATACCAAGGAAGAGTGTGCTTCTTAGTTCAAGCAGATACATGAGACTAAATGGAGGGCTCCTGTCCAGAGGCAGGAGGAGAAGGCAGAAAGGGACAGGAGCTGGTTGGATGGACACAGGAAACCCGGGGTGGAAGGGAGGAGTGTGCTGTCACATTATAGGGATTGCAACTAGTGTGTCACACATAACAATATGTGTATAAACTTTTGTATGAGAAATTAACTTGAGCTGTAAACTTTCACCTACAGCACAGTTAAAAAAAAAACAAAACTCAGTGTATACCTCACGTTCATCAACCAAGAAATGTGACATCTAAATTGTGTTTTTATCTACTAGCTTGTAAATACCAAGAGAAACATATTAATAAAAGAGCCTTGTGGTGATTGCTGGAGCCCTGGTGGTGCTGTGGTAAAGCATTTGGGTGCTAACCAAAAGGTACCAGCTGCTCCTTGGAAACCCTATGAGGCAGTTCTACTCTGTCCTGTAAAGTTGCTATGAGTCAGAATTGACTTGATAGCAGTGGGTTTGGTTTGGTTTGATTTTTTTGGTGATTGCTATTGTAAAATCAAGAGCCCTCTTGTAAAGAGAACTAATTGCTCCGCTAGTTGTGTTTTGTAAATACGAATTTTTGTGTATGGCTGGTTTCTTTTAAGAAGGTATCACCTGTAGTAGTGTAGACATTTCAGACGTGTAAAAGAAGTCCTAAATTGGGGGGGGGGCGGTGTTCATGGAAAGGCGTGAAAGTTCTGTTCTTAGTATTTAAATGGGCATTTATTTTCATGAGCCTCAGAATTATTCCCCCACAGATCACAAGGCTGTGCAGCTGGAAAAAAATCACTGATTGTATCAGGAAAAGAAGCACAATCCCTACTCAACCTCCTTTAGAGACAAAGCCATCACTAGGAATGTGTAAATGAAGGGGCTCCATAGAAAATAAACGCTGAATGGTGTGAGAACAGAGCTGGCAGGGGAGGGGGGCAATGGCTGGGAATATGAGAACTGGGAAGACCTTCAGCAGTTCACACTGTGCTGCCTTCCTCATTTGTGTGTTTTCTGAGTCAGCATTATCTAAATTTTCCAGAGAGTCATCCACAAAGTACAGCCTGGCCAGGGGACATCATTCATTTCCCCTAGTGACCTTAACAAGTCAGAACCTTGAAAGCAGGGAAATCCGGATGTCTCAGTTATGAGGTGGAGCAGAAAGGGCCCCAACATACTTCCAGAAGTCTCCATTAATACTGGTGATTGAGTGTCTGCCTCTGTTACTGCCAGTGGCCATCTGAGGTGCTTCCCTGGCTCTGAAGGGGTTGACACAATGGCCAAGTGCTTCAACCTGGCGTTGCTCCTTGCCTCCATCTGGACCACGAGGCTCTTGGTCCAAGGCGCTCTCCGAGTAGACGGTAGGTTTCTTACCAGATTTCTTCGCTACAGCAAGGCAAGATCTTGCAGACTGTCCTAAGCCTATTGAGCTCTTAGACTATATATTGTTGAGAGTGGGTTCAACCCTCAATTTCAACAGAAGATTTAATTGGTGTATCACTCTGCCAGAACTATTTTCATCATGTTCTCAACCTCAACAAAATGATTTACATTTATCTTTACATCATTTTCACTTTTATTTTTAGTTATGGAATATTTTTAAAGAGAATATTTGGAAACAAAACATTGAGGAGACAATTTGTTTTTTAAAGTGTATCGTTAATTGCTAGAAAAAGAAGAACATGTGTAAGCTTAAAAGTGTTTTTCATTAAAGAAACAAAACGTGATTGTGAAAATTTTAAAACTATCAATAAGCCTTGGGAAAAAATTGGTAACTTTCACTAAATGTTGGCCTATTTTGTATTTTTAGAAGTGTCAGCATGATTATTTTAATTTCCATTTACTATACTATGTTGTGGGGCCATGGTGGCATAGTGGTTAAGATCTCGGCTGCTAACCAAAAGGTCAGCAGTTCAAATCCACCAGCTGCTTCTTGGAAATCCTGTGGGGCAGTTCTACCCTGTCCTATAGGTTTGCTATGAGTCGGAACCGACTTGACGGCATGTTGTCATTAGGTGCTGTTGAGTCAGTTCCATCCTGAAAATATACTATAAATGGAATGTAGTCTTTTTAATATGCAATCAGTAGCAAATTAAGAGAAAAAAAATCTTTGAAAATCAGCCATAAGCTCTCCACCAAAAGAATGACTTAAAGTGATGCTGGATTTTTGAAATGCCTAAATGAAAACCTCATTCTGCACTATAGGCAAAAGGTTGTAACCACAAATCACTCATTACAGCTCTGGGCCAATGAATATATGAGTACTTTGACAGGAAAATTGTGTGTTCCTATGCTGGAAGATGCCCTAAGGTATAAAATATGTTGGGAACAGAATTGAAGTCCAGAACTGATTCATATATTGTTGTATTTAATTTTATAAGAGAGGTTACAGTGATTTTTTGTATGTTTTTTCCAAATACCAAAACTGCTACTGTCAAATAAGTTTTATCCTCTTTGAAATCCCCTTGGGGAGACTATACACTATTCCCACAATGCTGTCATTATTCAAGCTATTTTGGAAATTGTCCTTTGAATATGACTATCACTCTCTTTGGACCATCCTCAATAACAGGAAAGTTTTGTAAGGAAATTGAATTTTTGGAAACAACCAAAAGTTATTTAGAACTATGACTGAGAAGTAAGATGGTTGATGAAGGTGAGATGATGGGATGGGAACTAGTATTTTTGAGGGCCTATCATGTAGTCACACAGATTATTTAGATATGTGTTTGTGTGTGGGTATAAATTCATTTAATCCTCTCAACAAGATATTTTTATAGATTAAGAAATAGGCTTACAAAGGCCAAGTTACTTTCCCAATGTCATGCAGGCAGTAAATAATAAAGCTTGGATTTGAATTCTGGTCTGATTCCTAAGTATAGACTACTTCTACTAGCCTGCTGTCTCCTGAGAAATTTTATTGTAGGGGTTACTGGAGTACTCCTTGGACTCTAATCCCTGTTTGTTTGTTTTTTTCCTAAATGAAATAGGAAAGCATAAAAATGACTAATACTTGCTGACTGCCTGCTGTGAGCCCCGCCTGTGCTACATATAAGTTATCTAGTTTAATTCTGACAAAAATCCTCTGAGGAAGATATAACTATCCCC